CCACGTCTACCTCAAGCCTGCCCCGGGACTAGAAAAAGAAAATGCCAACTCCTGCCATGAAACGAACTCAGTAAAGGAAGGTGCAGTTTTAACTGAATGTGGCTGTTTTTGCAAGGCTCATTCTACAGTAGCTGAGCTCCTCCCGGACACTGGGCAGCTGCCCCAAGCCATCCTTGCTTAAGGTGGTAAGGACAAGCAATCAGCCAGGCTGCCCAGTGAGGGAACAGGAGTCCAGACACCTTCTTTCAAGCATTCTCATCCACGTGGATCTGTGTGGGACATTGGTAGACACAGGTTTTGATCAGGGTGTCTGAGTGGGGAGAGAGTCTGCATTCCCAGAAAGCCCTCGTGCTGGTCTCTGGACCTGACTCAGAGCAGCGAGTGGTTGTACTTTGCTTTCCTGGGGAAAAAAAAAAATCTACTCATCTATTAAAATTACAGTAACAAGTATCAACCCATCACTTGTTACCCTTTAAAGCAAAAGGTTGCCTCATTTAGAGCCTGGCAACCAGGGTTGATTCAAACTCTAGCTGTCATCTTGGGAGAGCTGTTTCGGTTTCCTCTCTGTAAGATGAGACTGATGAGGCCTAGCTGCTAGAATTAAGAGATTTAAGTGAGCTCCTGTTTGCAGTGGCCCCACGGTGCTGTCCGGCACACCGTTAGGTGGGTTCCCTCGAGTGTCTCCATTCTGGATGCTAGGGAGGACTTTCTCCTCATTCCTGAGCCCGAGGCAGGAGCCGGCTGGGGAGCTGCCTCCTCAGGCACTGCCCCTGCCCATTTGCTAGCTCTGCTGGGCTTCCTCTACCCCTATGGGAGCAGGGCTGGAGGAGCCACTCCTGCTCCTCCTTTGACAAATGCTTATTGAGCTCCTGGTGGGGTGGGGCTAGAGAGGAATCAAAAGTGGCCTTTTGGTCCAGCTCCAAGAAACTCACAGTATAGTGGGACCAAGTTGTGGATAGTTCATCATAATAGCATGGAGTAGCTATTCCTTAAGAAAGGAGTGCAGGGGAGGAAGTAACTCGGGGGGTGGGGAGGGGGACTGCATTAGAAATATGCTTTCCAAGAGAGAAGATGCCCAACCTGGGTTTTGAAGGATGCATAGGAGTTTACTATGCTGATTGGAGGAGTAGAGGGGATGGCATTTTAGGCAGTGAGAATTCTGGTGAGCCAGGGGGACCAGAGTAGAGGTCTGTGTGGGGAAATGGTCAGAAGGTGGGCAAGGAGCCCAGCCTTTACCTGAGAGGGGGAGGGGGGGAAAGTACCGTGGTGGTCCAAGAGGCTCAGCATTTTAGTGTCAAGAAGGAAGGAGCTGGTTGTCAGATGCACTAGAGAGATCCGGGGAGGTTAGGGCTGTAGGACCCTTCGGATGCAGCCGCTAGGAAGTCACCAGTGCCCTGGATGAGAGCACTTTCCGGGGACAAAGAGGACAGGAAGAAAAGACCAGGAAGAAGGTGAGGATTCTTCTGTGAATTGGGTGTGAAGGAAGAAAGAGGATGAGTGAATGAGAGAGGAAGACCCAGTGGAAGGAAGAGGGTAAAGTGCTGTGCTGCAGACAGGATTTTGGACTTGTCTGCTGGTCCCCCAGAACGCCAGTACCTAAGGCTGCAGCCTTTAATATTAACAGTGAGTGATAATTATGGCACGACTTGCTAATGTTTGTGGAATTCTTTTTAGGTACCAGTGTTTTTTGTACATCATGTCAGCCCTGCGAGGCGGGGGCAGTCATGTGCCCGTTTCACAGATGAGAAAACTGAGCCACAACAAGATTAGGGACTCGCCTAGGGCCACGTGGCCGGGAGGCGATGGGGCTGGGATCTTAGGCCGGGCCCTTAACCCCTGTGCTGGCCAGCACCATCTCAGCTGCCATCTGTCGGGGACTCCCAGCCCCATGCAGATTTGTGTCCAAACACAAACACTTGGGTCGGGGGTTCTGAGACCCCCTGGTCCAGCCCCCGACCAGTGCCTGGCAGTCCCCTGTGCATGGACAGTTCCTGATAGAACCCACAGACCCAGAGCCTCGCTAGCCTGCATCCCCACAGCCTACGCCATAGCATGCCACTGTGCCCATGGTTAAACCCGGTCCCGCCTGCGGAAAACAAACTTGTGGCCGAGGTCGCCAGAGACACCCTCCCCGTTGAACCTCCAGCTCAGGGCAGTCATTTCCGTGCCACTTCTGGATAACTCCGGTGGCTTGTGTCCTCCGGGCCACCTGCTCTGCCTGGAACGCGGCTAGCCCTCCTCAGGAAGCTTTGCCCCCAACTCCAAACAGCCAAACTGTGAAGTGGAAAATGGAGAAGCTGTTAGAAGGAAAGGGGCAGGGGAAGCAGAGGCGACGAGGGCTCTCCCCTGTCCTGCCTCAGGGCAAGCACTGTTCCCGCCTGGCTGTGTGACCTTGCGTGAGCCAGGCGCCCTCTTTTGGGCAGGTCCTCTTCGTGCCGTAACAGACCTTTGAAGCCCCGGTATTCCTGTTGCGATAAGCATGTGGAAATGTTTTGCCTGTAGATGACATGCAAATATTTTCCTCCTAATTCCACTTCTTTCTGAGTCTCTGGCTTCCTCCGAGTACTGCCACACCCCACCGTGTTGTCAGTGCCAGATTTCTGTTTTGAAGTCAGAGAGACCCAGCTGGGGAGACCGTGAGCCACATGGGGCTGTGACTCACCCCTGGTTCCTCACAAGATCCCCCAGGGCCGAGGACCTCTTTCCTGGGCACCATCTCGTAGTGGGCTGGGCTGGGGCTGCCAGGATTGTAGAGGCCTGGGAAGGCGTCTCCTCCCTCAGAGATGAGTCCTTTTCCATCTGACAGTGGGTGTCACAGGGACATTTGTTCCTTTAGTTTAACAGTGGTTCTGTGCCAGGAGGCTCAGCCGACGGGGGAGGTGGAGGAGGAAGGGGCAACAAGTCTGAAAGAAGCTTCCCTGGGGGCCTGCCTAGCGGTGGTGAGGCACAAAAGCAAGTGTGTAAAATAAACATGTGTGGGGAAAACCCCCCAAAAACCCCAAAACACAAAAAACAAGCACGTGTGTAAAAGGTCCTCCTTCCTGGGGAGGGGTTGGGGTAGAAGGGTCAAAGACACCAGCCTAGAGGAAGACACCAGCGTCATTCTCCAGCCCCCCGGGGTGCTGAGCACCTGCTGTGTCTGCCACTCTACCCAGGCTGCACTCCAGCACCTTCCAAGGACTACAGCCTGTCAGTAGCCTGCAAGGCAGCTGGGTCATCCAACTCACAGAGAAGTCAAGGCCCACCGAGGTTACCAGGCTCGCGGCCCCTCGGCTCGCTCCTGGGCAGTGTGGGCTCCTAGGGGGTCCCAGGGTGGCATTTGTGAGACTGAGGGGGGATGCGGAGGGGAGTCATAAAGGCATGTCATGTTCTGCCTCAGGTGCCTTCTCCATGTCTGGCAGGGCTGGGAGGGGCCCCCTGAGTTTCCTGCTTATCTGCCAAGTCGCTGCACTCAGTCACAAAGACTTGCCGCCCTCATGCATGCTCCCTGGTGCCTCGCCTGCAATGAGACAGCCATCTGTCCCCATCAGCCAGGTGGACTCTGGACAAAACACCCAAACTTCAGTCCTTTGATTCTGCTGGCAAAGGTGTGCGGTGGCTTTGGGACTCCTGAGCCTTTTTGTGACAGCACTTGGGCCCCAGCCAGCACCTCCCCTATCCCCCTCGTCCCCCAAGTAGTGAGTCCAAGGAGGTTCCCCGGGCTTGCACGGGTTAGGGCTACTGCTTCCGGGAGGGCTGGGCTCTGCTTGGGAGGTGGGTGGATAGGAAGGGGAGTTCCCTGGCACCGGCCAGCTTGGTCCCCTGCCCCAGGTATTTGCACTGCCCTGCTCAGTGATCCCTGCTGCCTGAGCCACCGGAGCACCTGGAGGTCTAGGCTCAGCACTGAGCAACACAGACTCGCCCTTGCCCTCCAGGGGACTAAGGCAGACTCAGGTATTCGTGTTTACTGTACTTAATCTGCCATCAGTACTGCAGACATAGCATCACAGGCAGCCCGGTCTGGGGAAGGGGCGACTTCCCTGAGATCAAAGGAGGAGTTGGGGGTACTCCAGGCGAGCCCTCCAGACACCCCATAGGCTCAGGAGGTGACAAAAGGGGCACTGGGTATTCCATGCAAAGCCCCAAGCGAGGATATACAGGTAGGAGTCTTCGACTCTGGAGGAGTGGACAGTGAACATTGACAGTGGGGAAGAGACACGATAACTGCCTGGTATCCTCAGCGGTGGGTGTGGCCGAGAGAGAGAAACTAAGGCAGAGTGTGTCCCATGAGCACTGGCCAGAATTCCCTTGCCTCTGTCCTCCATCTTGCTTGAATTAGTAGGGAGGTCTGGGACACCTCTCACTCTTCCCCACCTTCCCCAGGCCCATCCCACAGTCGCCTCCTCCAGCCAGCCCCTGGGATTGCTCAGGTCACTCAGATCTCACTCTTGAGTACCTGCAGCCTGCATTTTAAATTCATCAAGCTCCTGTCCTGGCTTATTTTGCTATCCTGTGTAACGAGCATTTGGAAAACTATCTCCCTCAGCACCAGGCACAGAGCCAGAGTTAAGCAGAAAGCAAAGGATACGCTCGATGGAATCCCTCATCCCCTAAAACCCCAGAAGACTAGGTAGAGCAGCTGCAGAGGAGATAACGGCACTCTGTGCCTGGACGCTTTGCACCGGGGGGGGGGGGGGGGGGGGAACAGCAAAAGTTTGATGAGTGAATGAATGAAGGCATGGACGAAAGCAGGCATGGATGGGACAGGAGGCACTGTGGACAGTTCTCAAGGGCAGCGGCCAGTCTCTTTCATAGGGGAGATGCCGTAGGGAGAGCATCGGTGTAGGTACCTGTTTCTGTCCTGGTTCCACAAAGCTGCCCCCTCAGAGCTGCCCTGGGTTCATTTCCTTGCTGCCCAGGAGGTGTCTAGAGGCCTCATGAGACCACAATATGAAGGGGCTTTGCAGAGGGGGGCAAGGCCAGAGCGAGTGCCAGTGGGGACGCTGTCTCCTGGTCTGCAGGATGGAGAACCTGTTCATCAACCGCTTCATGCACATGTTCCAGTCTTCCTGGAGCGACTTCGCCGACTTCGAGAAAATCTTCGTCAAGATCAGCAACACTATTTCGGGTGAGTGTGCCTTTGGGGTCTCTCGTGGTGCTGGAGAGACTTGCCTGGGAACTGGAAAGGGCTGTCCCGCCCCACTCCGACAGGCTGGGCACCCGTGCCCCGGGTCCCGCGTTCACTGGCCTTCACCCTCCTGCCCAGAGGTTTCTCCTCCTTTGGACACTCAAGACTGAGCACCCTCACCCTCGCTTCATCAAGTCTCAGAAATATCAGAGCTTTGTGTTTACACGAATCGGCCATTTGTGGCGCTTCTGAGCAGAGTAAAGGCAGAACGGAGCTTGTGTTTTAAGGATTTGCATGAAAGCGACTTTGCGTTCCCTTGGAGTAGGATGTGTTTGGTGAAGCAATAGCATTGTACTTGCCAGGGATAGCACGGAAGGAAAACACGGCATCAGAAGCATAAGGAAATGGGAATGATGGGTGAGGGACGGGTATTGAAGTAAGCACCAGGTGAAGACTGCCTTTGTGGACTCCTCCCCAAGACTCCCCCGCCTCTGCTCCCCTCCATCCCCCTCCGTCTCCCTCCATCCGGGGTGGAAGGCCTTGAGTCCCTTTTTCCCCCAGAGGCACAATGTTTTACAGCAGATCTCTAGAACGTATCCATCTTGCTTAACTAAAATGTTATCCTCACTGATCCGTATCTCCCCATTTCCCGTCCCTGGCCCCAGCAGCCACCAGCCCACTCCTTGATTTTATGGGCTTGACTGTGTTAGACAGCACATGTGAGTGGAATCGTGTGATATTTGTCTTTCTGTGACTGGCTGATCTCACTCAGCATAATGTCATCTCCACGTTCACCCACAACGTTCATCTCATATTGCAGAATATCCTTCTTCTTCTTAAGGCTGAATGCTATCTCATCATATGTATACAACACACTTCCTTTATCTATCCCTCTGTAAGTGGACACTTAGGTTGTTTCCGCATCTTGGCTATTATGAAGTGTGCTGCGGTGACCATGGGAGTGCGGATTTCGCTTCCAGATCCTGATTTTAATTATTTGGGATAAATACTCAGAAGCAGGATCATTGGATCCTACAGAAGTTCTATTTTTAATTTTTTGTGAAGCCACCCTACTGTTTGCCACATCGGCCAAGCATTTTGCATTCCCACCAACCCATGCACAAGGGTTCCAGGTTCCCCGTGTCCTCACCAACACCTGTTGTCTTTTGTTTTTATAACAGCCATCCTGTCAGGTGTGAGGCAATATCTCATTGTTCTGAAATGCATTTCCCTGATGATTAGTGACATCGGGCATCTCTTCATATACCTGCCATTTATTTGTATGTCTTCTATGGAGAAATGTCTGTTCAAGTCCTTTGCCCATTTGTTAATCAGGTTATCAGGGTTTTTTGCTGTGGAGTTGTAGGAGTTCTTTACTGATTTTGGAGATGATGCGTTATCAGATGTGCAGTTTGCAAGTGTCTTGGATTCTGCAGGTTGTTTTTTCACTCTGTGGACTGTTTCCTTTGCCGTGCAGAAGGTTTTTAATTTGACGTGATCCCATTTGCCCATTTTTGGTTTTGTTCTTGAGAAAGGGATTCCTCCGGAACCTCTGAGCCACGAAGGGCAGCTCAGGGAAGACAAGGTGGTGCCATGGCCTGACCCAGTGGCCAAGCAGTTGGGCACAGCAAGCAGAGTTCCAGGTTGACCAGCTGTGCAGCAAACACCTGGGAGAAGGGACCCAGCAGCGACTCTGGCCCTCAGCCAGGGTCAGGAGGGCTGCAGCCCGGGTTGCCCCCCCTCGGAGCTCAGGCAGGGCCACGATCTTCTCCCCCATAGAGCGAGTCATGAAGCACTGGCAGGAAGACCTCATGTTTGGCTACCAGTTCCTGAATGGCTGCAACCCGGTGATGATCCAGCGCTGTACGAAGCTGCCCGAGAAGTTCCCTGTGACCACGGAGATGGTGGAGTGCAGCCTGGAGAGGAACCTCACCTTGGAGCAGGAGATCGAGGTAGGACCGGGTTGTCTGGTGATGCTGGCCAGGGCCAGCTCAAATGGCCAGGTCACCCTCTGTCAAGCGGAAACCGCTTTCTGCTGACCAGTGCTCGCCAGCCCACAGGCCACGATCTCCGGGCTTGTCTGCCGGGCCCATGGCGAAATCGGCTGCCCTCGGCGAAGCAATCTCTTCCCTTCCCTGGGCATTTATGGAAACTCGTGACCAGTGCCGGAGGAGGGACTGAGGAGGATACTTCTCAATGCTCAGGGGCTGGGAATGTATCCATATTTTCAACATCGATATCACTAACGGAAAGAACTCCCTCTGAGCAGGAGGTCAGTTGTGGGCCAGGCTTTGTGAGAGATGCTTTACACACACGGTCATCAAATTGTCACCCACCTTGCAAAGGTGAGGAAACTGGAGGAAGAAGCAAACCTTGTATCAGAACAGAAAAAGAAGGGAGAAAATGGATGGAATTTTTAACTTTCAAATTAGAAATGTTAGTGTCTCCTGGTTCTGTCCTCACCCTCTCCCCAGCCCTCCTCTTGGCTCACCTGCAGGGACTTAAGGGACAGGAATGGCCCTTGCTCTCCAGTCACTTGACCTCTTCCACCAGATCCAGGATAGCGGGGCCCTCGACACCTGTCCCCCCAGGTGTCTAGGTGGCATTCTGTTTCCGGTCACCACGTCTTGTTTGCTCAGCTTGCCTTGGGGCCCAGCTAGAGAGGGATGGTCTGTGCCATCTGTGGACAGACCCGTCAGCCCCACATCCTGCCTACCTGACTCTGGAGCCATCTGCCAGGCTCACATCCCTTGGGAGTCCCATGCCCCAAGGCAGGTGGTCCCAACCCCCTCGCCCTGACCCTGCCCTGGCGCCAGCACACTACCTGGTCACATGGACAGCTGACAAGGACAACACATGCCCCCACACAGGCACACACTCACACATGCACACAGAGCAGTATTCTTTTGTAGACTTAATTTCTGGATAGATTTATATTGCTTCAGGGGCTATAGTTTTCACAATTCAAATCAGAGAATCAAAGAACCTTGAAAGCCACAGAATCCTAGAACTGGAAGGGACTTAGTAGCTCTCTGGCAGGCGAACAGCTTCTGCCTGGGAGTCCTTGCCACCTCTGGAGGTGGCGGGGGTGGGGGGTGGCTTTCTTTGCCAGAATGGTCATCTTTCCTGTGAGTGATGGTCTTGAGGTTTAGCTGTGGTTTTGGTCATGAAGCAATAATCTAATAGCCGCCACTGACTAGAGTCTTACACACCATCCGTCTCATTCACACACACCTGCCATCTGTTACACACACACTATCCCATCTCTTACACACACATCTCTCATCTCCTATGGCACAATTCCTCATTTCCTGAGTCAGTCCTTAGGGCCAGAAAAATGGAATACAAGGACCAAAATGAGAGGACAGGGACACCAGACAGACAAAACACCAATGTCTACTACAGAATCCCAGAACATCAGAACTAAGAGATAGGATTTTCCCCCTCACTTTTCAGAAGGATGAAACTGAGGCCCAGAGAGACGAGGTGGGAAAAATAACAGAAATGCCCCGGGCACAGGCCCAAATCCCAGGCCTCTCGGTTCCCTGGCCTGGGTTCCCAGGGCCTCCTGTTAGCCTGGCATCATCACCTTAACCAACCTGAGTCTTCTCAAGATTTGATTGGCAGCCACTCCTTCTGTGCAGTACTTATGATGGTCCTCAAACTCCGTCCTCTCCACCGCTGTCCCACATGTACTGCAGACAGACTGCTCCGAGCTCATCACTGATGTCAGATGACGGCCATGGCCCTTAAGGAGGAAGGTGGAAGGAGGAAGGAGGAAGGTGGAGGAGGAAGGTCCTTAAGGACCAGGCCCTTAGCTCCTTTCTTGTCTTTGGTCCCCCTCGGCGGGATTCCTGAAGCATGTGCTCGGTGGCCCAGCTGGCAGAGTTGTGGACACACATCTCACCTGAGCACCTGTGGACCCGACCTGCCACCGGTCCTCTACCCAAATTCTTCAAGCTCTTGACTGAGCGGGTCCCAGCTTTGTGAAAGGAACCCTCACAGCACTCAGGTTGGGCCCCCTCTAGAAGATCCAAGTGTATTCCGCAAAAGGTGGCTTTCACCCTTCCCCAAATCCCAGGCACGTTCAATTTTTTTTTTTTTT